CCCCCCCCCCCCCCCCCCCCCCAGTAAATCCATCCCTGTTGCAACATACACTACAAGAGCTAGAATGATTGCTTCTTTTGGATGATTTGTCTTAGAATTATATTACCTATATTACAACAAAAGACTAAACAAATCAAGGTCCCCCCCCTCCAAGGCAATTTTTCCAGCAAAATAGATTAAATTTGATGGTAATTGTTCTGAGAATATATTAACTCACTGAGTGGCAGCATTCTGCCTACTAGACTTGCCACAAGTCGACCTCGAACGAAACGCAAGCAGCGAGTGTGAGGCGACGTTTCGTTCGAGGTTGACTTGTGGCAAGTCTACATTATGCCCTTGAGTAAAATTGTCTGGCACCAGACGGAGTAATATATTAAAGTAGGAACATTGCCACTATAAAGGGTTAAACAAATTTTAAACATTTTGCAATGGTCTATATTCAAAAAGCTCAATTTTCATCATACACCATCTGACAACCATCTTTACCATCTGACAACCCTTCCCTGTATAACCACACTACACCATCATACACCATCTGACAACCATCTTACACACTTCGACCATCATACACCACCATACACCATCTTCACCATCAGACATCAGATTCCTGTATTGGACATTACTCTATTTTGCGGTCTTTGAAAAACTTGCTAGTGCATGTTATATCCAAATTGCACTCGAAACCACGCTACTACCTATACTAATTACTATATATCATACTATTCCATTATAACTAAAATATATTTTATCTGCTTTAAACTTGTTGTGAAACAATTACGGTAATATATTGTTTTATTATACGGCAAGCATTTGTTTTGATGAATCGCGCAATTTGATTGGCTGCTGACGAGGCAGGATTTTCCCGTATTGCCCACGGGCAATACTCAATTATTTTGCCCCGCGACAAGAGCCGAGTTTCAAACGGCAAAAAGTGTCTAAAAGTCTTTCAAAACTATTCAAAACGAAGAAAAATAAACCTAAACTAAAGAAAAGGAGCACCTTCTTTGGATAAAGAACTTTCTCAATATGTTTTTGTTAGCGAAAGTCGAAATTACAAGGTAAATTTTACAATGTTTATAACTATTAAAGAAGTCAGGAATAGCTGTGTTTTGACTTTGTGAAGAGCTGCAAATCTTATTTGCAGATAGCCGAGTAATTTGACATCATCCTAAATAAAAAATGCAACTAAAGCAGCCACAGATTTATATTTTTTCCCTGAAAATTTCTGGGGTTTTTCGATAAAAAGAGATATATTTATGAGATGAAGCGAACTAAAACCGTACTTGTCCATACTGTTTATTAATTTTATTGTTTTCATATTTCTTGTCTTTGTCTTTGATTAAATGACGAAATACCTCGTATTTTTCTTGAAATACTATCCAACTGTGTTAGTATTCTATATAAAAATTGCTGTGGAGTAGTTTTACTAACCAAGCTTGAGAACATTTTTTACAATTGTTCTTTTTTGCAAATGTTTCGGACTTTGTACTTTGCCCTCGCGTGACCTTTTTTACCCATTTTTTACAAACGTACAATGCCATATAATAAAAAACTTACTGACCTCAACCGTTCGGGCAGTACGGGAAAATATCCAACCTCGGTCTTGCTGTATTGACATCGCTATCGCCCGGTCAATACAGCAAGACCTCGGTTGGATATTTTCCCGTACTGCCCTCACTCTCGGTCAGTAAGTTATTAGTATTTCCATCTAATGTTAATATGTTCCAGGTGTCACGCGAGGAAGCATCATTGATGTCTTATGTAATTATACGAAATTAGTACTGGAGATGAACTTAAAGAATTTAAGGGCCCAGGAACCACGGACGCCACTCGGCAACGTGACGCAATTTTTCATTTTTTGAAAGTAATAAAACAGTCCGAGGAAATTTTAAAAGATGTGTAAACCAAATAACACAAAATGTTGGAAAACTTTAAATCCGAATCTAAAACCTCGATCCAACAAGAATGAATGTGCGCACCGCGAAACTGTATGTATGCTTTCCTAACACTTTCATCCATTTTACTTAAGATAAGACGTAGTCATAAAGACGTAGTCGCAACACTCATCAAACCTTTATTTTGAGATGTCCCCTGTCATAATTCATGATTCCAGGCAACCCTAAATATTCCGCCGTGGAATGTGGAATCGCGTTCGGGAGCCTGGAACTTTAACTCGATATTAATTTGGTTGGTAGACGTTGTCGTGGTGAAGTCGATTTCTCGTCGAATGTGAAGTAGTCTCCATAATTGAGTGAAGATAAACTGATTGAAGAAATATATGAACAAATTGATATAATATAATTACAACCGCCGAATGATAAACACGGACAGTCAGTTTAAAACCGCTTGCTTACTATATACTATTTAATTTCTAGTAAATATTTCGTTGGTTGGAGTCAGTTACTTAGTTATACCTTAATAAATGAATTTCTGCATGCAAAAAGTTAGAACTGTTTGTGCGTAGCTATTGTGATAATATTGAAATGTCTGTGCAAGTGTAGATAGTAATAATAATAAAAAAGATTCAGATTAATAGGGATACAATCGCCTGAAAAATACAAGGAGGACCTCAACATACCGAAGAATAGCATAAATTTCCGAAGAAAAGCCTTCGCTCAAAAAGTCGAAGATCTCCTTGTATTATTTCAGGTAGTGGCATCTATAAAAAAAAGCCAATTTTCTGTCACGAAAGATTTTCACGGGTAGAAAATTTTCAATTCTGAAAATATCATTTTTAAAGTTAAAAATTTTTAATTTGGGGTCTTCCGATCACATTTTGCAAAATTTTCTTTCTGCGAAAAATTTTCCTGAGAGTGAGCCTTATCAATCCGAAACTTTCTGGTGATGATAGATCATAGAATATGAGAAATAGAGTTTATCTACCATGTAAAACAAGGTAATAATATCAAGGTTTTTCAGAGGTCTTGTCCTCTTCATCTGCTTGTCCATAATTATTATAATTGGTCGACTTGGATGGCATGGGATCTAAACCCATGGTCACGTGACCTTCCTTTGAGCGTTTTGCATATGCTGCTTGCCGAGTCTGAAATGAAAAATGTTATAAATCGTTATTTCAGTCTATTTTCTGCGGGCAGAAAAATTTGCGGTCACAATAAGCAGAAAATTAAGCGCGAAAACACTACCCTAACGTTATGTACTATTTAAAGCACGCGTAGGAGTGTTTTATCAGATATAAAACGCGATGTAATAAGAAACGACTACAAGTGCTTTAAATGGCTTATAAAACGACTCATCTTATACGAGTTCATTGGCGAAGTAATTTTTAAAATAAACTTTGTCTAAACCGAGAAAATAAAAACTAAAGTTTATGCAAATTAACTTGATTTTTTATCACATATAAAACAACGACATGCTTACAATATTTATTTGTGTTTTGCTCCTGAATTATTAATGATTTTTTAAATTAAAATAATACGTGTAATTATGTACACACGTGGAGATCACTATGCCTTAAATGCGGTATATACTGGCATTTCTTCCCCCCACATTTCTTCCCCACAAGCCATTATGCATTACTTTCATAATTGTATATATGATTTAAGGTAGCACTTAAGTCGGCGCCGAGGTCTGTTGTGCTAACCTGCGCCACAATTTTGGTGGAAGCAATGCAAATAAATAAATAAATAAGCAGTACATGCGCTCTGCTTAGCAAATAAGTTTTCATACCGATCAAATACTATTGTTGAAGTAAAGTTGATTATTAAAAGTGACCATTACCAATAGTAAATTATTGTTACTAACAAAACTTGTGCCAGTCTATAATTTTTTTTTATTTAACTGCCAAGTAACATACAAAATTTAACAGTTTGTTACGTTTAAAGCAGCATATAAATATCCTTTCCATTGACAAGGTGCACGTTACAGTTTTCACCGATTACATTATTACAATGATTCCAAACTGCAAGTTTTCCCAAATATATATTTATTTTCTATTTTACAATTGGTATATGTATTATAATTTGTTTATTATTTTAGAATAGGTTTCTTCTGTATAAAATATCGATTCGTAAAGGAAAGCTAGACATGCAGCAAGCTCTCGTTCGCAGGTGAAGCAAAGAAACCATGTACATGTTGTTAAACCAGTTTCGT